CACATGTACCAACCACATGCTGCCAGGGAAAATTAATAAAAAATGGGGAAAATGCACTCTCATTTCTTATATTTTTGTGAAATGTCTTTGCACATAGATGGCTCTGCTAGTGCTTAGCCACAAAGGAGTCAATAAGTAGCCTTTGTGACCTTCCTAATTTCACCTTTCCTTGAATTGTCAGGAAAAACGTATTTTTTACTAGTGCTATGAATATTGATGGTGTTATTTTTATTATATTAATAATAAATTAATAAAGTAAACTCACAGTGGCCATGGCATGTACTACATGCCATACCCACTTTCTGACACACAGTCTGACACTACTTCGTTACAACATAAATACACCCTTATTCACAGTACTTGCTTAAGACATAAATATACCATTACTCACCTGTGAAGAATGTATGAATAGTAGTGTCCTCCACTTGCTTGACCACTATGGACCACAATGCCTGTCAACTTGTACTTGCTACATATCACTGTCTTCATATCTTCTGGGTCATAGTCTATGAGTTCTCCATTTCTAGCGAGTCCAGCAACTGCAAAGGGATAAGGATAAGGTTTAAATAAAGAGAGGAGGAGGAGGAGGAGGAGGTGGAAAAAAAATATATATATACACTGAAATTTATTCATATATATACAGTGAAAGTTGAAATCATAAAAACACACATCATAACCACTTCTATATGTGCTTAAGTGATTATGATCCCAATTATTCCCAGTACATGAGGGGAGGTGGCAAACTACAGAACCTGGAGGTGACTACCTTATTTCTTATTATTCATGTAACATGTTGAAAATATGCTCAGCAAGAAAATAATACAAAAGGACAATTCACTTACCCGTATATGGGTCCATATCTAACTCGCGTGGAAACTCAAAGTAATCATTGAATTTGATTGAACATTCTCTTTCCCAGTCATAGTCAAATCTTTTCAGCTGAATTGCTAAAATTGGGGGTAGTTTCTTTAAACATATCCGTTTTACAGTATCAACCTGGTAAAGGGAGAGAAAAACATAGTATTTTGGAAGGTTCTTCAAAATTACAATTATACTCTATCACTGAATATAGCATCAAAATCATCATCTGCTTAACATGACAATGAAGTTCACAAAAAATAATTCAAACTCACCTTTTTGTCACATTTCTCACATAGGTAGGCATTGTCCCCCTCTAAAAGGTCTCCCTTAACATACTGTTCAAGTGAGTCATATAGGTTGCTGTAGTTTCGGATGTCTATGCTGATGACCGTAAAGGTTTCCTCACGTGAATATCTGCCGAGAGGTTTAAGAGGAAAATTATCAACTTCAATGTATGTAAGCAATCATCAAAGAAATTTTATGGTAAGAATTCAAACCCTTAAAACTGCTTTCCTGTAACTTTGCTGTTAGGCACAAATAATAAAGACATCAAATTTAAATCTTTCATTATAAGCAGTTTTTATCACAGGGTTGTAAAGCTGAAATTTACTTAAAGAAATTTAACCTAATACTGCCATGCATGACACGTACTTATGTGCCATGCACATGCCTGTCTTGACGTTTGCCCTTTTCCTTGATTTACGTAAATATTTTACATTATCTTATTTTACTACTTATGTTTGTAACATTATAGCATTTTCCTGGTGGCACTGGGCTAAGTCTCATGCTGATAAGCCACATAAAGGAAGGGAGGGAGGAGGGATGGAGAAGGGGAGATGGAGAAGAGAAGAGAAAAGGAGAGAGGAGAGAGTGAGTGAGAAAGAAAGAAAAGAGAGGAGGGGTTTGGGGTGTACATATATTACAATAATTCTTTTATCATACTTACTATGTTTATGCACAAGTAAAAAAAAAAAAAAAAAAGGAAAGGCCAACAATGGAGGTCCTTGCATGACTGATTCAGGGAGACAAGGGAATAGGAGAGTTGGGGTTCTAATGGTAGAACAGAGAAAGGAAGAAAGAATTAGGAAAGACAAATAGCACACCAGTTTGTGAGAAGCTTTGGTTTATTGTGGCCACTCAGATAAGACAGAATATCTTAGAAAAGTAACCGCGGAATTTAAGATTTAAGAAACTTACCATACACTTCATCATATGCAGATTATCTACATCTAACATTTAAAGCACTTACACTTACAAACTGAAAACTATACATTACCTATGTGGACAAGTTTTACAGATCTTCTGATCTGAATATGATCCTCCTAAAATCTTGTTCATTATTTGTTCATGTCCTAATGCCTTTAGAGCCTCATTCAAGCTCTCGACTAAAATATTGTAAAATTCACAAGCATCATGTTGTTCACGCAAATTTACAGGTTCCCCTTGCAATCTGTAAACAGTAAAAAATAAATAAATAAAAAACACAAAAATCAAACTAAAAAATAGATATCAATCATATTTATGTATATTTCTCAAGGTTTTATCAAATTCAAATATAGCAAGACTTTTCCTTTATATTTTGATCTCAAAGATGAGCAATCAAACTTACTTAAAATGTTTCCAAAGTCCTCTGGGAACA